GCCTTTCGTTTTTCTTTGTCACTTTCATGGTTCCCTAAAATAAGATCAAATAACATCATTGTGACCTTGGGTGACTCTGCCTATTTTTAGTCTTAAATTTCCATGTCTATAAAAAGATTATGTAGAACTAGTTTATTTCTAAGTTCTCTTTGGGCTATAAAATCACATTTCCAAAATGAATAATTTTGTTTATACATTAGATATTGTCTGTAACCTGCCTAGTATTCTTTTAGCTAAAATTAATGGTTTCATCCCTCAATTATGTTTGATTCATTCATCATACAAGCAGGGAATAATAGCCACTTTCTAACTAATGGTGTTTGTTCTCAGTACCACTTTGCAGTGATTCGGTGGGATTGTCTTGGGAATGTCTGAACAGATATCAAGTGGGAATTCTTGGCTCTTGTAGAGAAGAAAACAGAAATCTTGCTAAAACTGAATGTGTAGCATCATTGATGGTTTCTTAAATACGCAGTTGTGCCCAACTTAACACCAAGTCCTCTTTCTCTAGTTCTTCCACCGGGGGAGGAAGGACCAGAAAGAAAGCAGAAAGAACAAAGAGGTTAAGATTATTTAATGGTATCTCACAAAAGGAATTTCTGAAGTTGAATAACTTTTATTAAAAGTCCATTTATTCCATTAAGAGCTGTGTGTGTGTGTGTGTGTGTGTGTGTGTGTGTGAGACTGGGAATTGAATCCAGGGCTTTCACACTAAGCTACATCCCCAGCCTTTTAATTTTTATTTTTGAGGCAAGGTCTCACTAAGTTGCTAAGTTGCCAGGTTGGGCTCAAACTTGTGGTCTTCTTGCTTCAGCCTCCCAGAGTGCTGGGATTACAGGTGTGCACCACCACACCTGGCTTATGGTTTGGATCTTGTATGTCCCCACAAAAGTCCATATATTGAAGGCTTTGTCCCTAGCCGTGGCACTATCAAGATGGGGACCTAGTCAAAGGAAGTTAAGTCACTGAGGGCATGGGGGACATGCCCTGGATGGGGATATTGGGATCCCAATGTGCTCCCTCCCTCCCTCCCTCTCTCCCCCCACCATTCCGGCTGCCGTAATATTCTGCCTCACAACAGCAGCCAACCATGGACTGAAACCTCTGAAACCATGAGCCAGAATAAACCTTCTGTGCATAAAAGGTAAGTATCTCAAGTATTTCATAACAGTGACAGAACGCTGACACAGTAAGAGGTCTCAATCTGATATCTCCCCCACTTGTTGGGAGTGAATGAGACCCATGGGAATATTGTAAGCTTAGCCCCTCATTTTCAAACGGAGAAACAGAAGCTACCAATGTGTTTCTGTAATTTGAACACCCTGTGAAGCTGAGGCAGAAGGATCACAAGTTCAAGCCCAGCCTGGGCGATTTAGCAATTTAGACCCTGTATCACAATAAAAAAGGACTGAGAATGTAGCTTAATCTGCAGAAATCCCTGCAAAAAAAGTGCCTCACCCCCATTTGCAGGGTAAATTGATTGTAAAACACAGATGAAAGCTAAGTGTTGGGACTCTAATCCAATGCAAAGAAGTATCATTGTAGGCTCAGCAGGGTGTAAATGAGTCACCAGGCCAGCCTAGAAGTATGGGGTTCTCCTGGTTTGCCTGTTCTGACACCATGGCAAAGGTTAGCTGCTGTGGTCAGGAAGGACACATCTGGTTCACAGGGAACTGAAAAATACCTGAGTCACCAGGCCAGCCTAGAAGTATGGGGTTCTCCTGGTTTGCCTGTTCTGACACCACGGCAAAGGTTAGCTGCTGTGGTCAGGAAGGACACATCTGGTTCACAGGGAACTGAAAAATACCCAGCATCTCCTAGCTGTGGGGGTCCAAGACAGACGGATGGACGCATCATGAATTGAGCACTGTGTTACACTTTACTCAGCCTAATGGAAGACAGGAGAAAGCCTATCTCTACCCACCACTCCTTGTTCCTAACATCTGGGTATAATATGTGGGGTTTTCCCCACATACTAGGCAAGCAAGCAACTCTGCAGCGGTGGACACCAGCTAGGTGTCCTGGTGTCCTCTGGTTCATATAGTGTGGACACTGTATGGATAGGACATCAGAGGTTGTGGGCTCAGCCCCACAAGACTTCCCCTCACTTCCTTGCCAACTGCAAACAGCAGGTTGTCACTGCACTTTTGATTGACTGGCTAAATGGGGGTTCCCCTACTTGGGCTTGATTAAAATTGGCTAAAGTGGCTCACAGAGCTCAAAGTAACACTTATTAGACTTGCCCGTTTACTAGAGAGGACACCACAGATGACAGTCAGATGGTAGGATTTCAGCCTGAGGCACACAGAGACCTCAAGCCCTCTCTGGGTGCCACCCTTCAGGCACCTTCACTTCTGTAGCCCAGGCTGGCGATGCCAATCACCAGTAGAGTCCAAGATTCTCTATGAGCTTGGTGCTGTCTCAAAGGAGAGAGCTTGAAACTAAGGACACCTAGAGGTGTTAGTACACGGAGAGACAAGCTGCCCGGGGAACCTTCTAGAACTTTGCCCTTGATTGTTGCTAGGCTTCCATAATCCAGAATCTGATTCCAGGAAAGAATGTTTTCATGAGAGTCAATAGGTATTGAAATTGGGACATAAATGATTAGAAGGTGGTGGAGGACAGAAGTAGGAAGTTTTCGGAAAAAGAGCCTTACAGATAGAATTTCCAGGCTCTTCTTGGAGTCGGTTAACTGCATTGAGTTTTAACTTGTTCATCTGAAAAATGGGGCACTAAGACTAATACTTGTCTTGATCATCAGCAGTGATCCAAAGAAGAAATCGTGTGAATGAGATGAATTCGAAAAGTACAGAGTACACTGCACATCTGACTGCCCTTCTGTGTCTGTGCACGTGTGGTATGTGTGTGTTGTGAGTGTATGAAGTAGACTTTCACCAGTGTAACATGTACAGCCATGATTACCATCAAAATGCACCAGAAGGAAAAGTATAATTCTTTGAGGGGTTTCAAGTGGTTACTGCATTTTTAAACCTATGGCAAGGCATACAGTTTTGCAAACACACATGGCACCACTGCCGCAGAGTGGTAAAGAGGACCTTTGTATGGGTGCTGAGCATTCCACACTAAAGCAAGGCTGGTGACACTGGGGACATCTGCAGTCTGGAGGCCCTGACTTGTGTGTGTGTGCACAGTGGTGTGCAGTTGCCACACAGTGGCCCCCGTGGCAGGGACAGATTGATGCCTAGGCAAATGTTACAGACAATGGTGAAAAACAAATCAAGTTTTCTTCAAAAGAAACTAACCCCTACAACTTCGACCCACAGTCCAGGTGAGAATTAGAAAAGCACAATCCCAACTGAAAATGCTCAGTAGGTTCCCTTTTGTCTCAAGATGAGAACCTGGAGAAAAAGCAGAATTCCAGAGTGAACTCAGAACCCTTAGATGTTGGGATATAAAGAGTGCTACCGGCCTAGCCGCCCACTGGAATTTCAGTGTTCTTCCTGTAGTTGGAGTTTGACCAGCTGAGATCATATCCTGGCTGTTCCATTTCTGCCTGGAGGAAAAACACAAACTAGCTCCAAGTCCCACTTTCCTCATCTATGAAATGGGAATAACAGTAAAAACATTTATCTCGGGCCTAGTGAAAATAAGAAATGAAATAATGTGTCTCATTATAGTGGCAAACATATAGTATTTATAGGATGTGGTGTTGTCCCGAGTTTCAGGCATCCCCTGAGGACTTGAAACACATGTGAAAATAAGGAAGGGGGCTCTTTTTTTCCAGTCCTAAGGATCAAACCAGGACCTTCATACTGAGCTACATCCCTAGCTCCTTTTTCTTTATATTTGAGACAGGATCTTGCTAAGTGGCTATGCTGCTCAAGCTGGGCTCAAACTTGGCAGTTCTCCTGCCTCAGCCTCCCAGGCTGCTTGAATTATAGGTATGCAGCACCACACCCAGTGGGAGAGGGGAATGTTATGTACAAAATACTCTGCAATGGATTTAAATCAAGACTTCCCATTCTTGTCACTGGGATCCTGTACTTACAATTAGCCATATATCCATAAAGCCAACTGACTGAGAATAACAGGGAAGGGAAGAAAAGGTATTAGGAGCAATGACAATGACATTCCTGTTCAGCAAATCAGTTCACTAACAGATAGGAAGCCTTTGTCTCCAGCCCACGGGAAGGTATGATTTTGGCAAAGGTGCTTCCTGTTCCCCAGAGTGAGTCTCCTTGACCCTTGTTGTACAGAGAGTGGTGGGGACATCCTCAGACAGACTGGGTGTGAAAAGAGCTCCTTTCCAGCCAGGATGTTGTGTGCCCCCAGTAGGGCAGAGGGCATTGCAAGCCACAAGACAAAAATTGGCCCACTTCCTGAAGCACCAGTGTTAAAAAAAGAAAAAGCAGAATCTAGACATTGGTATGACTTTTTTTTTTGTAAGACAAAACATGCTACTTCCAAACCCTCTCTTGCTGTGCCATATTCCCTTTCCACCAGGCCTCCCTCTCAGGGGGACAGTGCTCTGCTCTGCCGAGGCAGCTCTCGTGTAGGGGAAAGAGCACTGAGCCAGGAGGCAGCGAGGGTGATGCGCCCCAGCCCACATTTCTATAACCTGCCCAAGGAACCTCACCAGCCCATCTCCAAGGCCTTTGAAGCCTTTGATGTTCCGCAGCCCCCTTTCACCCCACTTCCTCTGTCCTCCAGCCCTCTGCTCCCCATCCTGCCCCACAGGACTCCCCTCGAGAGGCCTCACACACAGTCTCTTCCCGTAGGAAGCCCTCTGGGTCTCGACAGAGCAAGAGTGACCACGCTCAATGCACCCCCAGCTGTCCACACACACCGATTGCTCTGTTCTCGTTCACCTTTCTAGCTGGCCGAGAAGACTTCTTCAGGAAGCTGTTTTGAAACTAAATCTCAGCAGACTTTTTTTTTTTTTCTGTCCAAGTAGAATTAGAACAGGAAGTGAGAGTCAGAAGTGTGCTCAACTGTGACAAAAGTCACATTACTCAACCGCAGCGTCCTCATCTCTTAGGAAGCTCAGTTCTCCTCAGGGACAGAGGACGTTCCAGAGCGTCCATCTGAGACTCTGTGGAAACCGCTTCAAGAGGCTCTTGCTGGCTTTGATTTCCCTCCATGGTAGGGCAAAATGTTCTCTGGTTTTGAATGGCAAGAAAGCCCCCGCAGAGCTGGTAAGATGGGGGAAAGGGGGGCTGTGGAGGGCCAACTGGGGCTTAGAAGAGACGCAAGTGTTTCCTTCAACGAAAAACCCCTTTTGTCGAGGAAGTCCTGTGTTCTCAAGCAAATTCTAACTGAAAAAGCTGAGCCAGGCTCTGCCAAGCACTTCAGCCTTCCAGAAACAGAACTGGCGGCTGTTCTGTCTCAACTACAGGCCTCTACATACCCAAACAGGGATCATTCATTCACCTGCTGGAACAAGGTTGGTGTCACTACAGTTCCAAGAACCTCCTGTTGCTTCTGATTTTGCCTGTTGTCATGAATGTCCTTTTGTTGTTTGCTCTGTTATTCTTGTAATTAGCAGCGAACCATCATTAATAAACTTACAAACACAGGAAAGAAACCAACAAACCATCCACCAGCCCAGGGAGCTGTTCTTATGCCAATACTTCACCCTGTCCCAAACTCTACCAGCAACTCAAATTTCCCTCCATCCATTTATCTAATACTTGGTTGAGATGTTGTAGGTGAGGCATTGTCTTGAAAAATCATCCACAGCACAGTAATTTGGGACGTTAGTGCACCCGAGTCCCCCAGATGACTTTTCTAAAATCCAGATCACCAGACCAGGGCCCCAGATTGCCCCTTCTCTTGCTGCTATAATTTGGATTTTGAGTATTTCCTCAGTCCCCAGGTCAGCCCTACTGGGAAGTGTTGGAAACTTTGGTGTTCCTCATAGGAAGTATCCAGGTCCCTCAGAGTGCGCTCCTGGAGGGGACTGTGGGACCTGCCCCTTTCTTCTGTCTTTTGCTTCCTGCCCAGGAGGTGAGTGGTTTTGCTCTGCGACACAGTTGTGCCATGATGTACACCTCACTTCCGGCCCCAAATAATGGGGCCAATTGATCATGGACTGGAAATTGCGGAACTGCAAGACAAAATAAACCCTTTCCTTTTATAATTTAATTATCTCAGGTATGTCATTATATGCAACTAACACAGTAGCCATGGCACAGGGCCTTGGAATTTGCATTTCTTAGAAGTCTCCAGGTAATACAGATGTAACTAGCTATAGGATCGCACTCTGCGAATGTCTGCCATAATATATGCACCATCAGTCCCTAGAATGCCTGGAATTTAGAAGATGATAAATATTCATTAGGCTGAATTAAAGCAGACTTGAGAAAATCCTGGATTCTGAAACAACAGATCAGCTTGTGCAAATATTTACCCTTTTCCCTAGCTGGGGCAGAAACAAGAGTGTGAGGACAACTTTATAGAGCAGGATGGTCTCATGTAGACAGCAAATGTTAGGGTGAGAGCACAGTGTTTTGCAGCTGATTTATCTGCTGAACTGACACAGGCATGGACATCTTGGGAATTCAAAAAAACGGGCTTGGGCATAGCATATCCAGTGGTAGAGCAGGTGCCCTATCCCCAGCACTGAAAGGGGGGATATAAAATAATTACATCATCTTTAGCACCTTTTAGTTACCTCCTTCCCCTCAGACTCTCTTCCCCTTCTGCTCCTTGCCTACAATGCTATCAGTTAATATTTGTGCCCATACTTTGATTTCTTTTAAAGGAGAACCCGTATTGTTGCCAAGTGTAATAATGTCTCTGTTCATCTTTAAGAAGGCAGCAGCACCTTCTTGGGAGACAGCAACACCAACAACCTCGAAACAACCCTTGATTCTTTAGCAATCATCCCTGTTTATCAAACTTTAGCATAATTTAAAATCCTCACTTTTGTGACTTCAAAGTCCATAGTCTAAGGTTATTTGTGGAGAAAGATGGCCAGTTGGCCATTTTAAAAACTTTTAGACTCGTAACAGCGGCTGTTTTTCTCTAAATTGCATCAAAGCAAATTCCTTTGTGTGTTCACTGGGCTCTCTCTCTCTATTGCCTACTTATTTTATGACTGTTTAAACAAGAAAACCTGGAGAAACATAATTGATTTACATTTTAGTTGCTGACCCCTCTTGGCTATCCTGCAAAAAAGAGAAAGTTAACTGTAATTCTCACAACTTCAAAAGTATGGATAAGCCATTAACTGATTAGGGCAATGTATCTCTTGTATATCAATTTGGTTGTTTTTTTAAAAATGTAATTTAGTAATCTTTTTTAAATTGAGAAACTATATATTTTAGAAAATTAATTTCTTAGCAAAATGGAGTAGAAAGTAGAGTTGTGTAACTCTTGTCCTCACACAGTCACAAAGTCCTGCTCTCTCTACAGCCCTCCCCAAAGGAGGGCGCAGTTGCGCCCCGTGAGCCCTACCCGGACACCATGTTCTCACCTGACACCTACAGTTCATGTGAGGAGTCCCTCTGGGTCCTGTCAATTCTGTGAGCTTTGACAAATGCGTAATTACGTGCCCCCATCAAGGTAGTATCAAACAGAATAGTTTCCATAGACCCCAAAGATCTATGCTCTGCCTGGTCCCCTTCTCTCCCTCCCAACCTGTTGCAGCCATTGATCTTTTTACTGTTCCCCTGGTTTTCCCTTTTCCACAATGTCACCTCCAGTAAATCTCCCCTTCCCTGTGGATGATATATTCCAAGACTCCCAGCAGATACCTGAAACCATGCAAAGTTCAAAAGCCTATAAAAACTATTTTCCCCATTACATGCACGCATACTTTTAAAGTCTTTTCCAACTTCACAAAGCATGCATAACAAGCTACCATAACTATTAACTGGCCATAAGTTTATGGTTTGAGGTGTGACAGCATGATTCATAATGTGAATTTCTTTTCTCTTCTCCATAATTTTACCAAAAGAATATTTGCTCCCCACATGGATCTTAGCAATTTCACCATGAATTTCTTTTTGCTTTCCATATCTAGTAGAGAACTTTCATCTTTTTACTTAAAGAAGTCTCTGAATTGCCTGTGTCACTACCCTTGCATTTTGGAGCTGTTACTAAGAAAAATAAGAGTTACATAAACATAAACACTGTGATGCCATGACAGTCAATTCAATAACTGAGATAGCTGTTAGGTGACTAACATGAAACATATGCATTGTAGATACACTGGTCAAAGGGGTGATATGTGTACCAGGAGTTTGGGGCCAGATAGAGCAAGATTTGATCACGTGACTCAGAATGGTGTGTAATTTAAAGCTTATAATTGCTTTTTTATGGAATTTCCCATGTAATATTTTCAAAGTTGCCCACAGCTAACTGAAAATGTGAGTAGCAAAACGGCAGGAAAAGAGAATCATACAATGCATAGCCTTTTCAAATTGGCTTCTTTTGTGTCCTAATATGCTGTACATTTGTTTCTTCCATGTTTTTCATGGCTTGAAAACTCATTTCTTTTAGTGCTGTATGACCTTCCCCTGTCTGGATGTGCCACGGTTTATGTATCCGTTCACCCACTGAAGCTCAACTTGATTGCTTCTGGATTTAGGTGATCATGACTAAAACTGCTACAAACATCTGTGTGCAGGCTGCTGGGGCCGCCGCTGTTTCGGTACTGGGGATTGAGCGTCTGGCTTCATGTGTGCTAGTCAAGTGCTCTACCACTGAGCCAAACTCTAAACCCTGGGTGGAAGTTTTTGCGCAGATGTAAGTTTTCAGTTTGCTTGGATAAATATGAAGGAGTGCAAGTTCTGGATCCTTTGGTGAGGGTATGATTAGTGTGTAAGAAACTGCTGAACTATCTTCCAAGGGACTGTGCCATTTTTGCATCCCCACCCACAATGAATGAGGGATCCATTGCTCCACATCCGTGCCAGCATTTGGTATTGTCAGTGTTTTGAATTTTCATCATGCTAAGAGATGTGCAGTAATATCTCATTGTTGTTTTAATTTGCAGTCCCCTAATGACAAGTGGTATTGAACATCTTTTCTTATTTGTACCTGCCATCTGTTATTTCTTTCACGAATTGTGCCTTCTGTGTTGAATGTAAAACATCATCACCATATGCAAGGTAGTGTATATTTCTAGAGTTTCATGGTCTTGAATTTTATACTTAGGGGTTTTTTTGGTTTTTTGAGACAGAGTCTCACTATGTAGTTGAGACTGACCTGGAACTCACTAGGTAGCCCAGGCTGGTCTCGAACTCAGTGATCCTCCTGCCTCAGCCTCCCGAGTGCTGGGATTATAGGCGTGCGCCACCACGGCCGGCATAGATTTAGGTTTATAATCCACTTTGAGTTTGTCATTGTAACCAGTGGGGTCTATTTCTAATTCACTTGCTTGGCTGAGGCTATAAATAGTTGCAAAGATTAGTTTATTCTCTGCTCTCTTCCATTAATCTATCTGTTCTTTCTCCAGTTCCACACTGTCTTAAGTATTGTGGCTGTATAGAAAGTCTTGAAGTTGGGTAGTATCAATCTTCCAACTTTATTCATCTCTTTCAATACTGAGTTGACCATTCTGAGTCTTTTCCTTGTCCATATAAACTTTAGAAGCATATTGTTCGTATCCAGAAAATAACTTGCTGGGGTTTTTATTGCAACTGAATTAAATCCACAGATCAACTGTCACTGCGTTTTGTGTGATTGAGCCTGCTTGTCTGTGCACATGCAGTCTCGCCTCGTTTATTTAGCCATTTGTTCCGTGAAAATCCAGTGTAAAAGAACCAACTGTAAGATGCTGTGAAACCAGAGAAAGAGGAAGGCAGATCAGGATTACAGGGGGTGCAATTTACTGATAGAAGCATCAAGGGTGGCCCCAAAACCAGGACACCCCCAGGCTCTGAGCTGGAGAGGGGTCTTCCGGAACAGTCAGGACAAAATTGATTTCCTCTAAGCAGGAATGCGCCTGGCTTATCTCAAGCTATTATGAAAGACATCAGACACATTCCTATTTCCGATGATGCCAGGGTCTGGCTGTAATGCTCCTCATCCCATTCTAATGGTTTTATTTGTAGTATGCTGGGCATCTTTGAAGGACAACAGACCAGGGCTACACAAGTCTGGGTGGTTACAAATAAATATGGCTATGGCCACATCAAGCTGGATCCCTACACTTTCCTTTGATATGCTCCTCCTCCTCCCATCGTCATCATCATCATCATCAGAAATGAGGTACTAGTATTTTGCTCAGCCTGACTTCAAACTCCTGGGCCCAAACAACTCTCCTGCCTCAGCCTCCTGTGTGGCTGGAGCTATATTTGCATACCACTACATCCAGCTCCTTGATATTTTTTACCCAAGTTTTGTAGTTTTCCTCACATAGATCCTGCAAATATTTGGTAGATTTATACATACTTATTTCATTTTTAAAGTAGTAATATAATATTTTTAATTTCA